ATATTGTCATGCTCAGCAGAGAGGATTCCAAATATCAGTGTTATATATTTGGGTAAATGGATGTGGGACTGCAGTCAAATATGATCGGTCAAATGTTGTTGCTGTCATAGGTGGGGGGCCAGCCCCTTTCTYATTTTCATATTGGTGGTGTATCTTTTCACATGTAAAAGAAGGATAATGAGAGATTTGGTTACCTTTGGTCAAGCTGAGCTATAGGACTTACAGATGTATCAAATGCAGAATACAGCCTTGACACTTCAGGATTGTTTGCTCCCCCAAAAAGTCAAAGGAGTAAGAAAAAGTTGTGTGACCTCTGCCTGATGGTGTACTCCCATCAGCATATAAAAACCACACATTATGTCCTCAAAGCACCAGATTATACTTCTAACAATGGCTGTTACACCTGGGTAAAGGGGATGCACATCCCAGGGTCAACATCTCTGTACAGAGGTGTGAGTGCTCTTCTGTGCTTCACATTGGCCTGTGAGGCCTTTGCTTCACCCCACATACCAAGTTAAGGCTTGCTCTAGGCCAGGTGCAAGGTAAGTGTTTCAGCTCAGGTTGGCTCAACAATTCTCTACAGCAAGCCTCGCAATTTTCCACAGCCAKTGATACAAATACTCTGGTTTGTGAAAGCCTACTACAGAAAGTTGTGCAAGGATCTCCTGTGCATGTAGTAAACAGCCTGTGAAATTAAATGCTGTTAAATCACAGGGGAAAAAACACCACATAGATACATAATGGCAGATGCCAAACCATCTACCCTTTCTCAGAAAAGCTGAGTTATTCTGAAGAGTGCTCAGAATTTGAGTCAATGCTAAGCAGTGRTTAAAAATGCAAACAGAGTGTTAGGAAACATTATGAAACAGAAGAAAAYAATGCACAAGGATAYACAATTAATAAGACAACTCTAATTSTGAACACCATTCCAGTCACTCCMWGTCAAAGGAAACATTGTGAGATTSAAAAGASWTTAAATGTAAGACAAAMGAWATAATGGTAGAAAGACATAGTARGGAAYGCAAATTTATGGGCAAAATAAAATGTGAGTGATCATCATTTTGTATAAGCAGGGGAGAAAGTGTGAAAAAATGCACTGAGAAAGAGCATGGAGGTTGATTTATTGTTTTGGGTGGGTTTTTTTAATGGAATGTTGCACAACAAATTTAAACATCCCCACAAAATGTTTTGAATGCCAAAATCAAAATGTGCTAAAGCAGCAATTAGTCTAATTAATTGAAAATAAGCCCAGCAAGTAGCATCAGAAGCAATAGTGTGAGTTCAACCCACAGGCTAGCAGAAGCTGAAGCAAAATATTACTTTGATTTTATCTTATTCTTGTACTCTTTCAACAAGCATCAGCTACACTCCAGTCAGAGGAATAAAGGAATAGCTGCTGCCGTGCATTGCCTCAATAGAGTGAAAGCAATCATGGAGCAATTCACAGACCAGATCAAATCCAAGTTTTGTATCTTTTGGGAGTTTTGGGGCTTTTAATGCCTGGGGGGTGGGGGGGGGGGGCCGGGGCTGGGCATTAAAAGCATTATGAAGCATTAAAAATCTTGGCTCTAGTCAAATGAAAATAGGTATGGCAATTAGCAAAATTTAGGTAAAAAGTATCACCAACATGCAAATGTCTAGCCCTCCTATTTGAAAAAATGAGGAGAAGAAGAGGAGGCAGAGAAGCAAGAATAAAAATCAGGATGCAGGAGGAAGAGCTGAGACACAGCAAATTACAGAATTATGGGAGACAAAARGAAAAGAAGGATGAAAACATCTTCAGAGGAAAGACAAATGAGAATGAACTGATTCTGTCTCGTTAGCAGTAAAGAACTATGACACAGAAAGAGAGACCTGAATTTCTTCATCTGATACTGCCTCTGCAAAAAGGCATGAGCTGGAGGGAGTAATATTAAGGCAACATACAGAGCTATGATCTTCTGAGAGAAAATTGAGAAAATTGCAAAAGGCAGGCAGGAAGGAAAGGAAACAAACATTAGATAAGGTTAGGAAGGAAGGCACATAATGTAAGTAAAAGGTGAGAAGTAAGGGATGCTCAGAGCAAATATCACCAAAGGTAAGAAAAACTGAGGCAGAGGTGGACCTGGACATGGATTTGGGACTTGTGACAGTTAAAAAAGGGATATAATAACCTTAGTGGAAGAGATCTGCRCAGTATCTTAGGAGATGAAGAGTTAACCAAACAAAAATTTAACTGTCTGGGATACATCAGCATCAATTGAATGAAATGATTCTTCCTCACCTATGAGGAAAATGGGCCAATTTTAGTATCTGTCTCCAAAAGTAAAATACTGCTACAAGCAAAAGGCAAAAATTTATATGTATGATGTCTTAGCTGCACTCAAGGTCTCACTAACTTACTCTTCTTTTTGTACATTTAAAAGCCTCTTGCAGAATTTTACAGAGGATCAGTAAGAAAACAGAAACACACAAGCCATTTATTATCTGAAGAGCMCCAATCACAGTGACCATTAAATAGTGAAAAAAAAAAAATTATTCTATGTGACATTTTGAATCCTGATTAGCTGGAAGAGATCTTAGTTTATGTTACAGAATAAGTGKTTTTGGCATGTAGTTTTAAGTAAGAAACAGCATTATCTGTGGTTCTGCCCAGTTCAGACTCCTTTTCATCATGCATGTCACTCTGAATACTTCAGAGTTGCATTTGATCCATAAATGGCTTAGTCTGAAGCCATGATACACTAATTTTAGGCTATACAAGTTATGCCACCATGTCTCAGCATCAAATTTAAGCAGACCTTAACTGAAATGCCTTCTTCATTTTCATGGTATCATTAGGTGAATAATGAACAAATACAGCACTATTCAGAAAAACCTTTTAGTAGAATGTGGATCTTTYCTGTGCTCAGATAAAAAGCATAAAACATAACTTGAAAGAAAAAGAAAACTCAAAACAACTATCCTTATAACAAGCACAGGCAAAACAGCAATGCTATGAATTTCCYCCTACATAGCAGATCACAAAAACCAAGTCGCTTTTTGCAGTAAATATTACTGTATTTTATATAAATGCAGTCAGTAAAGCACAAAAGGGATAATGAAGAGAATAAGATGGAATGGGAACACTTTGTTCTGTACTTAAGAAAATTACAGGGAAAAATAATAGATTTTATTATTTCAGTACCTAGTATTCCTGTATTTAGCTGCACCCCTTACTAAATCTATAATCAGAAAACATGCTGAAAAGACACACTTATAAAGGAGAGCTGCATAATAACTTGCTAGACAGAATTTTTATATCTCATTAAAACAATACCTTGCAATAAGCTGCATTTTCAGGCAGAAACAAAAGCCTGTAGAAACACAGAATTGTGCAGGTTAGAAGAACCTTGGCCARCCTTCTGTGGGAAGAAGAGGATAGATGAGACCTATAGCCTCTTGAAAACCTCCAGCAATGCCCCCAGGGAGGTTGCTCCAATGAACAGTTGACCCTTCTGTAAAAACTTCATTTTTTCTGCCAACATAAAACCTCTCCCAGTGCAACATATTCCTATGCCACTTACCATGTGATTTCTTGTGGAAGGACCCCACTCCTCAAGAATSCCACCCYTCAGATTTCCYCTAACTTCCTCTTATGGTMGGRAARAAAAAGAAAAWCCTGAACATCCTAGCTMAGCAATMTAGGTTAAAAAACTGCTAGCCTGATGTTTTTGCTTGTTTTAACAAGCATCAGTACAATACACCTGTGTTTTTTGTTTGCTTTCCACTTTACASCTATATGACAAACAGGTGCACACTGAAAACACTCTCCTTAAAGGCTAGAAAATCTAGCCTCAAAGGAATTAACCATGTCCACCTCTATTAAAAACTGAGAATTAAAAACAAAAAACAACAGCCCCACTCTGTTTTAAAACACTGCAGAGGCACCCCTGGGCTGCCCCTATTCCCTTCCCCAGTGACTGAAAAGCGTGGCAGAGAAGGGATGGAAGAGAATCCAAAGAAGTGTTTCTTCACCTGTACTCGGGGCTGATGAGGCCGCACTTTGAGCGCTGTGTCCAGTTTTAGGTCTCTCCCTTCAGGAAGGACAYTGAGGTGCTGGAGTGAATCCAAAGAAGGGCAATGGAGCTGGTGAAGGGCCTATGAAGAGGTGCTGAGGGATCTGCGGGTGTTTAGCCTGAAAAGAGAAGGCTCTGGGGAGACCTTACCCTTCTCTACAACTCCCTGAAAGGAGGTTGTAGTCTGGTGGGGGTCTGTCACTGATAGGACAAGAGAATGTAATCCTAAACTGTGCCAGGAGAGGTTCATGTTGAACTTTAGCAGGAATTTTTTCACCGAAGGAATGATTAGACTGGAATGCGCTGCCCAGGGAGGCGGTGGAGTCACCGCCCCTAGAGGTGTTTAAGGAAAGACTGGACATGGCACTTAGCGTCACGGCACTTAGTGTCACGGCCTGGTTGACACCGTGGTGTTCGGTCGTGGGTCAGATTTGGTGATCTCAGAGGTTTTTCCAATCTAATTGCTTCTGTGATTCTGCGATTCTGCAATCGCCGCCCGGCGCGCGCTCACGCCTCAGCCGCCTCAGGCAGGCGCGCGCCACCCGGCTCCCACTCCCGCGGCCCCGCCCACTCCCGCGCGCCCGAGCACGCGCAGTGCGGCCCCGCGGAGGACGGCGGCGGTCAGGGAGCGTGGGCGCGGGCGCGCGGTGGGCGTGGCCAAGCCAGGCGGGTCGGGCACTGTCAGAGCGGGTGGGCGTGGCCAAGCCAGGCGGGTCGGGCACTGTCAGAGCGGGTGGGCGTGGCCAAGCCAGGCGGGTCGGGCACTGTCAGAGCGGGTGGGCGTGGCCAAGCCAGGCGGGTCGGGCACTGTCAGAGCGGGTGGGCGKGGCCAGATGTGCGGCGGTATCGGGGCGTGGCCATGAGCGGCCGCGGGGCGGGCATGGGGGAGTGCCCAGACATGGGGGCGCGGCCGACGGGCGCGGCGGGGTCAGGGAGGCGGGAGGAGCGGCCGGGCGGGCGCAGGGCTGCCGGCGGAGGCGGGGACAAGCAGAGGGTGGGCTTCGAGGGGAGCTGTCGCCGGTGCCRCCGGCACCGGGAGCGTGCCAGCCATGGACGCCACCACGCTGGAGCTGGACGCGGTGAAGTTCGCGCAGCTGGCGGTGCAGCGGGACCAGAGCGGGCGCTACCAGGAAGCGGTCTTCTACTACAAGGTACGGCGGGGGCGCGCCAGTTCCCTCAGGGCGCCGGTGTCCCCTTTCCTCGCCGCGGGCCGCATTATGCTCTGGAGGGTTCGCGCTCCCCGCTTCGTGTCTGGGAGGCCGGAGAGGGGCGTTCGGCACCCCCGCGGCCCGGCACGGCCCTGCCGGCGGAGAGAGACGCGCTGGGTCAGCGCGGCCGCCCCCGCCCTCCCCCGGCGGGTGTGCCCCGGGAACGGGCTGCTCGGCCCGGAGAAGGCGAGGCGGTGCCCGCCGACAGCAGAGCGGAAGGCCGTGGGTGCGCGTCGAAAGTTTCTCAGTCTCCGGAGGAGCCCCGTCCTTCAGGGTGGATTGCGAAACGCCTTTTCCCTGCGTCCTGTTTATAGGTGGGAGCGAGCGCTGCCCCTGCGCTGATGTTTGCCGACAGGCTTAGGGGTAGCACTGCAGGTACACTGCTTGAAAAATGGGAACGGGCGCTTCTTCCAGCTGCTGAAGACAGCCCCTTCAGCGCTTCTGRAAAGATTCATCGTAACCTAAAAACGTCTCTGCCCTGCTGCTTCTACACTTTCATTYCTGGCTTCTCCCCAAGCCATGGCAAGCCAGAAAGACTGATCAGTTTTATGCTGGAGATGTAAACGCTGGGCATTTTGGAGAACCACAGGTGGGCATACTGCCGCTCCTGGGTGTGCAGCTGGGAGCAACTCTGTTGTACAGTCATCGAGWAAATAGAGAAGTCGGTGGTGAAATACAACATGCTCAACAGTGAGGTAGCTTCAGGTCACAAGCTATCAATGACAGATTTTTAACCTCATGAGAGTATTATTGTCATCATGGACTAGATTTTACTGTTTCAGTTCAATTTCAGGTTGGCTTAGCTAAGTGTAGAATGAGGTTGATTCAGTGTCTTGCTTGATATCTGTAGGCTTACTACTGGTATCTAGTAGTTTTTGTACAACAAAAGGCATTTTTCATTTGTGTAAWTTGTCACATTTTGTTGTTTTATATWTGGTAAAKTTATRTTAAAGTTCCRTTTCCAATTGACTTCTCACCTGCAAGAAGGGATGTCTTTGAATCTTCTGTTTATTCTTATCACAGTAATCATTCCACAAATTCCATTATCCTGACAAAGTCATTCTCTGCCATTAACTTATTAAGGGATCCATAGTTGGTCTTCTATTTCATGAGTACAAGTTGTCTGTGAAATGTTTAAAAAGCGTAGTGTTAATATCATGGTGGCCTATGCATGTAAGTGTGAAAGAATAGGAAGAAGAGGTTTTTTTAACCCAGTTGTTAATTTTTGTGGGCTAAATTTATATATGTAAACCATATACGTGCAAAAGTTATAGTAATGCATGTCTTCAGCAGTAGCAGTATGTGTGCATGGTCTGATAACCATGTGCTATAGTACTGCATTAGTATTGTTTATTTCTCTGTTTATCTGTAAGAAATTATTCTGTGTTACTCAGAATAGAAGCATCTTTTTGTGCAARTAGTCACTTGGTGCACTTGAAGCTATGCATGACAAGAGTATAACCGAGATATCTTTGGCTTTCCGGATGTTGCCTGAAGAACCACTGCCATGTTACATTAAACAAAATAGCTACAAAATGTCGTTTATTATTTTGGGGATACTTTTCTTTTTTTCTAGTGCAATGCAAGTAAGCCCTGGCTTGTCACCAGCTTTCTTGTCAGCTGCTCTAAGCAGTTCAAAGCCCACTGGTGCAATTTTATGGGAAAGCTTGGGTATTGAACTGACTTCTATGGGAACTTGATCTTAAGGATGAAACATGGRAAATGCTACAGTTGTTGCCCATAGATAAAAATAAAACAGACCTGTGAGAATGGAGTTCCTATGGTTTGCAAGTGCTCTTTGCTTCCTGCTACTGTGTAACTTTGATACATCCCTAGAGGGGTGCTGCTTGTGAACCAGCTTAGGGCAACTTGCTAATTAATGGTGCTCTGCAGAAATGTCAGGATCATATTTGGACACCCGATGACTTCAGCAAAACTGCTGAAGGCTGTTGCTAAGTTTGGCTGTTGACCAGCCATTAGCAGCTTGCAGACTGATGATTGGTAGTTAGTAGTGTTACTGTGGCACACTATTCATGATAAAGAGCAGAACTGACATTGGAGAGATCATAAATGCTAAGTCTGAATTGCACATCCATCTGGTGACTGGAAAYAGCTGGTGTGATGGCTCCACAGGCTCTCTGTCAACTGCTTCAGTCCTTTGCAGGTTTGATTTGTAAAAGACTATTTCCATTATGTTTACATCTTAAAACCGGACAAAGCAATTGTGCATGAAATGACAGAAGAAACATCAATTATAGCTTRGTTTTGCTGCASTGGTTTGGRAATCCACATTTGTTCTTTGCATCATGTGGAGATCACATATCTTTGTGATACAGCACCTGTTTTGCCAGCCTGTATTTGCAGTATGTCACAGACAAATATATCCATCCCACGTAGCTGTAGTGCACTTCTTTCCCCTRCAAAAAGCAGTGGTGTGGTAGACCTTAATGGTAGTTAATTGCTACATATAAATGGTACTTCTGTTAGCCTTTCTGTGGCTGTGAACATTTTATGTGATATAATATGGAGATGGATGCTAACAGGGAGCATGCAGTAGTTGGTAGATGCTTCTCAGTGAAAATTATCCTGATAACAAATCCAGACTGTATCAGGATCAGTTTTAAGCTTGGAGAAACTACACAGATGGGTATGGGAGAAAATTGCTAAGCTTGACAAAAAATAATGGCCATAAAGCACACGAGGGACCCCTGGCCATGGTAATCATGCTTGTCCTGTGCAGGGCAGCCTCTCTGAGCATCATCTCTGTGAAGGAGCTCTCTGGTTGTTGTATATTCCTGCATTCCCAGCCTGCCTGCTACATGACCACCTCCTCTCCTCTGCTGCTGCAGGGAAGACGAACACTGCCACAAAAGGGGGGGCTTTTTCCATTGCCAATAATGAGGACAAAACAATGTTTCTGTCCTCATTTTTGCAGGGTGACAAATGTTAATTCTCCATATGGTTCTGAGACTGTGTCAGCTCTGGCTTTTTATTGCAACCCTGCCAAACCTTACATGWTTTTCATAAATTCAGTGAAGGGATAGACAGCTTATGCAACTGAAGGCGTTTCTTCTTAATAGATTTGTACCGTATGGAAAAAGCCTTCTTGTGGGTAATGCACTGTGCTTCTGAGCCAGAGAAGGAAGGAGACTTGCATCCAGTATGTTGTGTAYATGCAAACATTTTTAAAAAGTTTGAAAAGGCTGGAAAAACCTTACATTTGTAGACTTTCCAGATTTGATAGCTTTGGCTGAGTCGTAATAATTTTAAAAAATTTTCTGAACAAAAATTATTGGCGTTTGATTTTGAAAAGCTTTTATATTTGKTACTTTCTTTATTATCAGATTAAATGCAAATAACTTGAATAGCTGCTCTTTTTTTCCTAACCTTAAATCCTCAGCTTTAAAACCAAACTGATTTCAGTGCATGCTTTAAAAGTTTTATGTAATATCTACAAATTTAATGCATTACTCTAAAAACAGGCCTAAGATCTAGTTTTACAGAAATTCAGAATGTTTTTATAGTATTAGAGGTTGGCCCAGATGTGAGGAATTAAACATGATCTKGCTTGTAACTCAAAACGTTTTCTTTTGAGCAGAATTTCCCTGCAGCCACTGAGTCTTTTTGCAGACGTTAAGGGCTTGTTTTCATGCAACTCATGGCTGCTCTAGGCCCTCTGTTTATGGTAAGTAATTTTCTAGGCAGCAAACATTAACTTTGTCTCCAATTCTTCTCCCTGCAGGAAGCTGCACAAGCCTTGATTTATGCTGGGATGGCTGGGTCCAACTTGGAAAATATTCAAGAAAAAATAAATGAGTACTTGGAGAGAGTTCAAGCTCTCCATTCAGCAGGTGGGTAAGGAGCTTTCTAATTAAACCTCTGCTTAAATTAATTGAGTGGAAAGTTGTTAGCTGCTGTGAAATACATATCAATGTGTTTGCTCTGTTTTTATTATTCTAATTTTCTTGTCCTTTGTGAGKAACCACAAATACAAYGAGCACATCAGWGCTTTGAATTYTGATACCTCATAAATTAAGTGGAGWCTGACTTCCTAAGGACTTGAATGTGGATATTCTCTGCTTTAAATACTCTGAGGAACCACATCTGCAGAGCAAACAGGAGAAAGTAATTAAATATACAAGAAAAATGGTTCAGGAATGAATCAAATTTGGCGTCTAAGCCTCAGCTGCATGATGGATTTGAAACAAGTGGGTTCTGRTAAATATGTAGAATTACTAACTTTGAGAGGGCAAAGGAGCTCTTGCTCTCAAAAGGGTTTTCTTCTTTGATCCAGTTTCAATGTTCCTACTTAGACCAAAATCTCAAATTTTTGTGCACCTGCAATTCTCATAGTCATGGAATCACTTAGCCAAAAAGGGACCTCAGCTATCCTGTAGACCTGTGGCCTGCTGAAGGCAGGGTAGACACTGCTGTTTAGACCAAGTTGCTTGGGTTCAGATAAGAACTAAAAACAACTAAGGATAGAAATGTCTTGGTGCCTCTGGTCCCCAGGGTACAATTGTATTTCTACCGATTATTTTTCAATATGTATCTAGTTGTTGTCCCYCTGTTTTTATTTATAATTGCTGATTTTCATTCGCTTTCTTCACAACAAAGTGAAGAGCCTGAATTCATTTCCTTGACAACCTCACAACTCATGTTGTGTTRCTATTGCATCCCCCCTTCAAACCATCTTTCCTCCTGGCTGGRCAAGTCATGCTCCCTCAGCTTCTTCTCAAAAGGCCAAGTCCTCCACCCTCAGCTTAGTTAGGGCCCCAAGATGAGATGCARTACTCCAGAGCCTGCTGAGTGCTGAGTAGGGGTGATAATTGCTTCCCCCATCTCCTGCCTGAGCTCCCACTGACAGGGGCTGGTAACATTCATTGCAGCCAGGAGCCTGCTAGCTCAGGCTTATCTAGCTGTCCCTCAGGCCCTTATCCACAGAGTTGWACCCTGCAGGGTGTGAGTCTGCCCCATGCACAGGTCGTAGCATTTATCCTGGTGGAATATCCTGAGGTTCCTGTCCCATCATTAGTTTAGCTTGTCAGTGTCCCTTTGAACAGCAGCTATGTGCTTGAGAGAATTTGATTTGAGTGCTTGATTTGGTGGGGTCTGCAATCAGTAGGTATTAAATGAGGTGGACACCTAAGGAATTTKTATATTGTCATAGGTCATGTGTTTTTTACCAATGATGTGGTATTTTACATAATTAAACATCCTTGTTCTCAGTGTAATATGAAAGAGATTTTACTTCCATTATTTCACATCTGAAATATCCTGAGAGCTGACCTCTGCTTCAGGGAAGKGTGATAGTRTTTTCACATSCTTGCATAGMTGTTTTTACCAAAGTTTAGGMAGGTTTTGTTTCCAGACAGGAAATAGTTCTTACCTGACTAGTTGGAGCTGCTAGTATATCAGTACCATGTTAAGGATGTTTTTACACATCTGCTGCTGTAGAAAGCTAAATACTTTCTTTTTCATTTAGTTCAGTCACAGAAAACAGACCCTCTGAAGTCAAAGCAACAGTTGGACTTGGAGCGTGCTCACTTCCTAGTTACACAGGCTTTTGATGAAGATGATAAAGGCAATGCAGAAGAAGCTATAGAGTTGTACACAGAAGCGGTGGAACTCTGTTTGAAAACAGTATGTTAAGCTACAGGTTAACTTGGTGGAATTATGTGATGGTAAGAAATTCTTCCACTCTCACAAGTGACTGACCCTTAAAGGCTGGCTTGAAAATGGAGTACCTGTATTTGTAAAAGCTACCTTTTAATTTTTTGTTTGTTTGTTTCACTGGTGGTTTTTTGGTTTTTTTTTTTTTTTTATTTTGTTGTCTTTTTGTTGTGTTGCTATACAACATCGTAAATTTATGGGGATTTGTGATTTATGTGGGTTTTTTCTAAACTGGATTATACTAAAAACTAGAAATATTCTGGAAACTTTTTCATGTTAATATTTGCCCTGGAGCAAACACCACACAAACAGAAATTAAAAGCTGTTAAAACTGAAGATGACTTGCTAATGTGTCAGCTGTATTACTTTCTGACTACATTAAAGGAAGTCATGGAAAATTTTTGTGTGTAACAGTTTCTGCAGATGTAACAGTCTACTAATGCCAAAACTATTAAAAACACTACTTGATTACTCAAGTGTTCAACACTAAAGCTGTTATGAGTGAATTCAATCCACACTGAAATCAATAAGGATGAATTGGCCATTCCGTAAACAATGAAGAATATAATTACAGGTACTGCTTTTCTCACTTAAGTCCAGTTGCCTTAACTAACTCATTACAAGAAGAGCTCACCATCATAATGTAACTCCACCAAGTCTGTTTTTCTTTTTCTCTTCTTTTCAATGTTATAATGTAAAAATATATGTGGGTTGTTGAGAGTGTTAYGTTACTGTTGCTACATGCTAGAGTAAAGCGTTTTCTCTGAATTATGCTAGCAGGTTTTACCTCGGCTAAAACCCCCTGTGATACASTGTAACCAGATCAAGAGTTAGTAGACTTGCTCTAGTTTTTCCACTTGAGCTGTTGGAGCAGAACGTTTTCAGTCTATTACGTAACATTTACTGCAGCAGCGTGCTGCTTTTGCTCTGCTGTGTTCCTCCTTCTGTTGTGTCAGTTCATRCAAATATTACTGAAGTTARACTGAAAATATCTCGTATTAACAACTACATTTATTGGGTATTTCATTAGGTGCAGGATACTGCTGAAGTTTCTTTTAATTTTGACAAGTATATTCTTTTGTTGTCATGATGGTAAGCTTTCTGCCTTGGGGTGATCCAAAAGTACCTCCTTACCAGGATGAAAGGAGATTGAAGGAACTCTGCTATCTTGAAGMTGTACTTTCTCCTCAGTATATTCAGGTGGAGAGATTTGTTTCTCCCTTACCCTTGAAGTACTCAGAAAGCAGCCATTACTCCTCTTTTGTGGCTGATTCCTAGATGAGTGTGCTGGTGTTCCATCTCCCCTACTTATCTTCATACATCTTTAGAAGTCTTTTCCAACCAGGAACTCCAGAGTGTAATTTATTTGCAAATTAAATTAGTTGCTTATAGAGGGTGTTTCCAGTTTTGGGTTTTTTTTGGGTGAAAGTAGCTTGCTTTTTGTATCCTCAGTTGACCTGTCTGACCTGGGATAGTCAGCCAAGGCACAAAGCTAGAACCTGAAACCTGCCTGTGGGTGTCMCAGGAGAAGCCACACCTCATGTTGTGCTTCTTGCAGATTGTTTAGCTGCAGAAGCCGTGCTTCATCTGTAAGGAACCCTCCCAAATGGGAACAGAAGTTAACAGTCTTGAGATCTGCTTTGTTGCCCTGCCATAAATTATTTTATGCCTTTGACTGCAAGTTAAAAATGCACTTCTATTTTGTTTGTTTATATTATATGAAAGTAAGCATTTAATTTTTTTCCCCCAGGTTACCATTATTATTTTAATACATTTGGGAAAAAGAATTGGAACACATCCAAGCTCAGTAGTATATGTAACATTTGGGTTTGCCTTCTTTCTGCCCATAGTATTTTAATACAAATRATTCTTCTGGCAATTTTGTTGGTGTATGCAGTGTTTTCCATGCTGAAGAATTTTAAATGTAACTTTCATTCTATGAGAGTTTCACTAGAACAGCAAAATTATCTTTGCTTACTTAGTATGTTTTCTTCATGCTGAGTTTAAAAAAAGAAACAACAACAAACAAAGCAAAATATTTGCTCATTTCAAAAGGAGAATTGGAAGAAATAGCTGGTTATTCTTTGCTGTAATCTAGAAGTACAACAACTGAGTTGATAAGACATGTTGGTGGTCTTTGAATGTATAGTTTTTACTTTTATTTTGCACTTTAGGCTACTGAAACTTCAGAAGCAGGACTCCAGTCCAAACTGAAACAGCTGGCTCGACAAGCACTAGATAGGTGAGTACTGCTAATGTGTGTGTTAGTAAACATGCTTGCTGTCAGGTCTAAGTGCACCCTCTGAGTTGGAGTCTCAGTCTAACATGTCTGTGTGKATTCTGTGTAGACTAAGCTTCTGTAGAGTTCACCTTGGAGCTAGTTGCCAGCTGCTTCACTGCTGAATGTAGCAGCTGCTGTGCCAACCCTCTGGGAATCTTGGGGCATGCAGAATTAGGGAAGGACTGTGTGCTTTCTAGAACAAGTGCACTACTTCAGAGTTATAATCCAGACTGCTATAATTATTGGCCTCTATAAAGATGCTGAATTCAGGCTTGCATTAAGTCAAGGAGTGTCCCTTAATAAGTGGGAAACACTTATTTTGATGGTTGCAATTACATGGTATACATGTAGTGAAATCTCTGTCTGAAACAAATTACACAAGTATAARTTCAATGTACCACTTTTTAAATCCGCTCTGGGATGGTGAATCGCAGGCTATGTTGGGCTAAGTTTCAGTACAAGATGGGTTTTAGCAGTTCTTACTCTGTGTTCAAAATAAAAAAAAAAACCAATATTTTGCATGTGTTTGACTATCCAGCAGCTTAATGCAGCAGTAAGCAAAATACGGCTCCTGCATGCACAATGTTCAAGCAGTTGAAATGCTGGGTTGTGAGAATTCCCATGGGGTTTTACTACTATTGTACTTGGTAGACAAAGTAAATCTGGAAGGTATGAGAGGATGCAAATTGGTTTTCTCTCTGTGTTTCAGTGATCTTATTCTGAGATTCCACATAATGAACACTACACAAACTCTCCAATTAGCATAATTTAGAGGCAATAAAACCTAATGAGTTCTGCTGAAAGTAGCTTATATGTTTTGGAAATGCTATATTTTAATTGATTCAAGAACAAAAAAGTAAAGAAATACCAGCATCAGAAATTGATTTTGTTTTTTAGAAAAAGTGCTGTTGGTCAACTTGGGCATTTGTTCATTCCATTTATCATAAGTGGGAACACGAACAAGAAAATCAATAATTGAACTTCAACTATATTTTCTTTCTCTGTTGTAAAGAAAAGGCTTTTTTTWATTTGCTTTAGAGCAGAAGCACTGAAGGAATCTATGTCAAAGTCATCTCAGAAAGAAAAGTCAACTGCARCTAAACCAAATCAGCCAGTCAGAACGTTCTTTCCATTGGGACCTGATTTTTCTTTAAATGACAAACCACAGACAATCAGAGCRGTACAAGCTAGTGAATCTCAAGGTCAGAGATACACTGCAGAGGAGATTCAAGTACTAAGGTAAGTTGAAGATTTTCCAAAATGAGTTCATGAAAAGTCTTGCTCTAAGAAGCCAAAGTGCAAACAGATTATACAACGGCTACTTCACTGAAAATTGAGGGAGCATAATATAAGACTCTGCCTTCTGTWACATCCAGTTCATTTTACTTTGATTTTTATTATAGGTGAAATAAGCTGCAAATAATAAAACCATTAGCCTAAGCTGTGACTTTTGAACGCTATCAAATATATCATTATCTAGAGGTAGTTGTCTTGTTTTCAGAAGCTCTGTGTCTTCCTAGTTTTGATAAAGTTATTTTGTTGTTACCTTCTGCAACTTAGTCTTTGGAAGATGACTGATAAGTTTGTAAATCTTTTTTGTTTGTCTTTATTATGACTTGCAGGAAGACTTCAAAGATTAATGGCATTGAATATGTACCTTTCATGAGTGTTGACCTGAGGGAACGTTTTGCTTTCCCTATGCCTTTTTCGTAAGTATAGTTCAATTACTGGACTTCATTTTTGTTTTTATTTCCAAAACTTTCCCATATTTGGTATTTCTGTATTKTCTTTTTCAGAGTTTAGAATTGTTTGCATGGGATTTTAAACATAATTTAGGCCAAGATATTTAAATACTACCACTTTCTTCTTCCACTCTGAACTTAAAATTTTATTGTAAGCTGATCCTGCTCTGTAGTGCTTTTTCAGTTGTGTCTTCAAGCCTACAAGGACTATATTATATTCAGCTTTATTTCGGATTATTGGTCTGGGCTGGCAACTTGAGTGTATTTTCTGATGCTGCTCCATGCTAAATGAGTTCTGTTGCCTGYAAAATGCAGGTGATAGCTGTTTCCTCTGTAAAGGGCTATTCCAAGGAAGGGTGATATGTAACAGCTAGAGCTTTATTCATGAGCGTTTATAATAAGTAAAGATTACACAATCATAGTATACAAAGACATTTGGGGTTGGTTGAATTTTTTTTAACATTTTTGCCCTTTTCCCCCWAGAAACCACAAACTTAATCCAAAGTAGTGTTCCTTGAAATTGTTTTACAGCTTTGCAAGTGTTCTAAGTATGTTTTGCAGCACCTATCAGATATATGTAAGACTGGATATACCATGAAAAGCTTTTCTAAATTGCTGTTGATTTATTTCTACTTTTTTTTCTGTCTTAAATCTAGTGATAAGTGTGGAAAGCTACCATTATCCCCCAAACAGAAAGCAATGTTTGCCAAATGGGTGCGACCAGATGACATAACAAATAACCCTACGATGATCTATACTGTATCAAGTTTCAGCATCAAGCAGGTAAACTTTCCTAAAGAGAGATGTGTGTTGCTAAGTAAGGGGTTTGTCGTGGGGGATCTTGTTCTAAAAGGAATCCCCAAATGTGAGGGTGCTTTCCTTGGCTCTCAGGGGATTAAATAAATAATAAAAAMTTTGCTCTGTAAGGGCCTCATGTTGAGCAAGCATACTTTTTCTGCCTCTTTAATAGTGGCTTTGCTTATTTTGTTTTAAATCCTTCCCTTTTGAAGGGAATTACTAACTGTTTTCCTTCCCTCCACATGCCACGTTCATCTCTCAGTATCTGAGTTATTTGTAAATGTCCTCACTGGTTTTCTTTYCTTTATAGACGATAGTGTCAGATTGTTCTTTTGTGGCATCACTAGCTATCAGTGCAGCATATGAAAGAAGGTACAACAAAAAATTGATCACGAGGTAAGTAGCTGCTGCTTTGTGAGATCTTTTCAGGCTTGATACTGCCAAGCTTTTGCAGTATATTCTGTGACAGTTGTAARAGCCAGCTTTTGTTTCACCTTCATCTCCCTGGGACTCATGGTTTCAGTACTTCTAAGATGGAAGCCAACTRTATATTRAAATAAAGGGTTTTAAATSTAACAGCTRAAAGTTGYTAGACAAAAATTCCTAATAACAAWTTTGAGTCAAACTTTGGAACAGATAAGGAGTTTGTAATTATTATTTGAAG